CCCAGACGTCGGTGAGAGCAAGAAATCCATCTGCCTCACCTCCCTTATTTTAGTGGGCTTGTCCCGTAATTACATGTTTTGCCCCCAAGCCCAGCCGGATGCCTTGTGGACGAACAATGCCCTCTCACCTGAATTGGGGGATTGAATTTCCTGAACCAAATGTTTGACAGGAAATACAAGAGTGAGGAGGCAGGCAGGTAAGTCAATGCTTGCGGCTTTTGGACCACCAAAACATACAGGGATCTAGCCAGGACCGGGAGAAGCTGCCTGCTGGACTCCTCCATGGGATTAGTACATGGTTTATTACCAATCAGTGAGGCAGATTCAGATGAGTGTTTCATTCTTGGGAGCTCTTGACTTTGATTTGTAAGGCACACTTCATGATAAGTATCAAGGCATTACAGAAAAACAGGTCTTGACTTGATTTTCTCTGTTTATATGTGAGAGAGACTCACCCATTTTTCTATTGCGATACAGTCACAAGTGACTGTGCCCCCACTGCAGCGGGTGGGGTGGGGGAAGAGTTCTCTGTGGAGCCCACACAGGGGCTGGTATTAGACGTACCCTCCGCACCTGGGGTGAGAGTGGTCCTTACCTCCTGTCTGCCACTTGTCCTCACACTGTGGCCCTATGTCTCTGTGGAAATCCCCAAACAAGCACCTTTCTTGCATTTGCCAATGAGGCTGGCGATTCTTCAGGAGGAATGGAAGCAGGGCCTTCTAAAGGAAACTTCTGATGGCTGTTATTAATGCTCATAAAAGGAAAGGACAGATCTAGGGTGCAAGGCCCTAGGGGCCCCAAGCACCGTGATTTAGCTCCATGTGCTCTGTCACCTCGCTGGGCAGGCAGAAGGCAAGCAAAGGTATGGATCACTTCCACTCCTGAGAGGGCAGAGCTGGGAAGCTAGCGCAGCCCTTCTCCGTGTGATCCTCTTCTTGCTCCTTCCGTCTGACCACCTGGCCTGCCCTGCCTGCTGTGGGTTATTGATGGTCCCGTCCTCCCTCTGGCCAGCTTCCTGAAATCGTTAGCTACCACGGGGCCTGTGTCTCTTCCAGAAGTCCTGGTGTTAGTACAGGCCTGTTGCCAATGACTCCCGTGGACAGAAGGTCGTTAAGAATTATACAGCGATAGAGATTATTCACACTGATGCCTTAGCTTATGAATGGGACACAGAGGCTCGAGAATGGTAATGCCCTGGCCGTGTTCAAATGGGCAATCCGGACTGAACAGGGAGGAGACTCAGGCCATCCCAGCTGTCGGATCTCTGGTGGTTCTGGCCACTTAGTTCTCTACCAGAAAAAGCCTTCGTTGCTTCTCCTCCTAACTCCACGTTTCAGGTTCCCCTGCCTTCCTCTGTTCACTCACCTGGCATCACCCTGCAGCTCATTTTTTATCTACCTCATTTCCTGTCACCTCTGTCCTGCTTCCTTTCCCATCTCTCTCCTGGCTTCCTGAATATCACTCTTTTTCTCAGGTCCCATTAGGAAGACACACAGAATTGAGTAAACAGAAAATATTCAACACTGCTTGCCAGCGTGGCCTGAGTGAAGCCGTTAGGAGGCAGCTCTTCCAGGAGATGTTTCTAATGTGTCTCCTGTAATTGTGACTGGAATTTTAATATCAAAGGTTAAAGCGTGGTGGTTTTCTTTATATTTTCTTTTATTTGCAATTACCCTTGGGAAGAAAACATATCAGAGGGTGCCCTGGGCAGTGCTTCCTGACCTACATTGTATTGCAGTGTACTGAGGTATGGAAATGTGCCATCTGGGACTCTCAGAGTGGGAAAGACAGACATGGACAGGCAGATGGGGTGGGAAGGACAGCACAGAGCAGGGCCCAAGGGAGGAACTGCTGGAGGCTCAGTCATGTTGGATGGATTGGTGGAAAAGGCGACTTAGAAGGACTTTTCAGTGTGAATAAAAGCAAGTAAGGAAGTGTGCACTAGAGAAAAGAAACAGAACTAGGTTAGAGATGTGGTAGGAAGCAGGCATTAGAGGTGAGAGTCAGAGAGACCGACCGCAGGACTGCAACTTTCCTGTCACCCAGCTCTGAATGTGGGGTCTTTTCCTCTTTGGACTTCAGTGTCCGTCACTGCAGAACAGGTGGTCAGACTTGCCTCTCTGTCCTGACCTCTCCTGAAGCTGTCACAGCCAAGTCTCCTGCTCGAAGCCAACTTCCCCCGTGGGCAATCCGTCCAGCTGTGGCTCTTTTGGCTTCACCACAGCTTGGCTAAATCATGTCATTTCTCTTTCCCTCCATGCTTCTCTTCCAAAGCCAAACCCATTCTAAATCTTTCACGTCAAGCATATCCATGCATCTTTTTGAAGCCTCGTTTAAAAAAATAATTTTACTGGCGGCATAAAGCCTTCAGGGCCTCAACCCCTCCCCTCACTGCCCTTCCCTGTCTTCTGAAAGGTTTCCCCATCCCTAGCAGGTTGAACTCATTTATAGTGTAAATGATAGCAAATCAGGAACCTCCTGCTGCTTATAATGATAACACTTCCTATAATTTGCATGATAAAATTCAACTGATTTCAGACAGCATTTCTCAGGACAGATAGGTGACACCCTGGCTCCATGAGGGGAATAAATTACCACCTCGAGTCCTCTGCCAACACAGTTGTGGATTCCGATTGGCTGACATTCAACCCCAAACAAAAGCACAAAGCCTTGTCTAATGGAGCAGTGGAAAAGGATATCTAGGAAATACGAAGAAGTTTTGCATGGTAATTTATGCAAATGCACGCCATAACTCAGCTCAAGAGGTTCCGCTTACACCTATAGAAGGGAGTGAGAGCCAAGGGTTTTATGGAACTGATGCTATCTCATTACACAGCGGAGGCTGTGGGTTTCCATACAAATGAGCTCCAGAGAGACCCAGGGTGGCAATTAGTCCTCAGACCACCTGCACCAGTCCCAAAAGGGTGCCTATTAAGTGCATTTTCCAAGAGCTCTACCGCAGACCCCAGAACCAGAAGTCCTTGGATCAGGGCCCGAGAATCTGTGTTTTCAAAGCTTTTGTTGTTGCTTTGGTGGTGGTTTCTATGTATCCTGAGTTAGACCACCTGAGCCCGGCAGCCTGCAGCCACTACTGGCACTGTGTAGGTGACACACACAGTGGCCACTCTCTCCATGGTGCAGTCAGGAGAGGCTTTAAGCTTGGTCAGTTTCAAGATCCTCGTTTATGAAATAAGGGGCAGATTTAAGTGCCTCTTAAGTGTTTTGGACCATGATTATTTTTCAAAGCATGAGCCAACTCTGCAGCCAAACAAATTTTGTATATGGGTGACCTGTTGACAGCCTTCCCAGATGGACCTCACAGCCTTGTTCCTCTGGAGTTCTGCTGTCCCCCAGAAAGGGAAAAGGTGGCACAGACTCCCCAGCACCGCCACCCCAGTTTCTTTCCTTACCTGTCTCTTTTGAGATGCAGATGGTGTTTGTCCTATTGCTCTTGCCAGGGAGGGCACTGTGTCCATACCCAAACCCTTTCTTTTATTAGTGGCTTAGTGTTTTGAAATCAAAAGCTGTTTATACTTTAATTTGTTTGCTTTTCCTCTGAGCATGGCTATCTTTCCTATTCCTTAAATATCGTTTTCTACATTATACCTAGCATGTACAATGGCGCCTTTCATATAGCAGATTCTCAGTAAGTGTTCATTAGAGAACATAACGACAAATGTCTTCCAGAACAGGGAATGAGAATGCAGAAACAGAAGTTGGTAGTGATTGATCTACTGTAATTCTTCAGTATTTTGGCACACAAACCTAACATTTGTTGATAGCTAAATAGGTCAAGTTTTCTGCGAGTTATCAGGTGTATCATAGTGTCCCAGAGGCAGATACGGAAGCCTTCAAGGAAATTGAGTTCAGGTAGGGTAGCTGACTTACCAAATCTTCACCTAGCTATGTTCTAAGGGTAAGTTTAAGTCCTCGATTCTCCTGGCTCCATAACCCTCAAACTTTCATTTCTGCCCTGTATTCTCAAGGTGGAGTCCAGTGAAAAGTTGTTTACCAACTGTTTCATCTAAGTTGCTCTCCTCCCTACTGTTACTTTGTTTCATCTGAAATTGGCTTTTCTGCTTTTTAAATGATTGAAAGCAAGACTGAAACTTCCTGTCTTCATCATCTTCTCCTCACTGAGGCACAACACCCAACACCCAGAAGCTTAAAGAAGTTTATTTTGGCTCACAGTCTGTACAGATTTCAGTCGGTGGTCAGCTGGCCCCAAGGCAGGGCCGCTGGTGAAGGTCCTTGGTGTAGGACAGGAAGTGGAGTCCAGGGAAGAGCTGGGAAGGAAGATTTGGCCTTTTGGCTCACCCCAATGGCCTGACCAACAGGTAGGCCCACCTCCCAGCAGCAAGTCAGCTCCAACACCCCAATTCTGGTCACTCTATAGGTCCTGCTGGGTTGAGGCGGACAGGCAGCTATAAACTATACGTTTGTACAGGGAGCCTGGCCAACTCGGACTGAGCCCCGACTTGGGAGAGGGGATGTCAAGAGTACCTTTTCAGGCATAGCTGGTGTAGTCAGGGCTTGCAGGGAGATTTCATAAAGGACACATAATTTATAGGATTATTTTATAATAGTCACTCAAAAAAGTCAAACACAGAGGACTGCAAGAGATCTGTCCACACACTCGAGACCCAAAGAATCCAGCCAAGGGCCTGGACCCCATGGCACTGTCTCGCACAAGTCCAGCTGAAGGCCTGGAGCCCACAGCAGGGCCTCGCGCAAGTCCCTGTAGAGGATCTGCACCAGGAAGGCACAAAGGCCAGTGGCGGAAGCCAGAAAGTCTTTGGCAGGGTGAAGGACCTGAGCCACCAGGCTGAGGGATCTGCACCGGAGCCCGGAAGTGACGCTCAAGGGGGAGACCAGGTGAGAATGTTCTGACAAGAACAGCAGCCATTCCCAGTGACAGCCAGGCCCTGAGCTCCTCCTGAGAGGAGAACCAGCCCAGCAAGCTTCTCTGGGAAAACCAACAGCCCCATCTTCCCCTCCAGGTCTCTTTTTACACCGTTGGCAACAACCCTCAGGCGAGTCTTCCACGCCCAGAATCATCGCACTGACTCAGGTCAGCTGGGTGTTGCGAGTTGACCGTGAGCTCGTCCAGCCCAGCTGGGAGGAAGCTCGGCGCTCAGGAGTCGGCGATGCATCTGCTCTGCCACGAGGCCGGGCAGAGGCCGGGCAGTTCCTCGGGGGCCGCGGTCTCCAGGTGAGTTACTGCCTCCTCTTTTTCCTTCCGTTTGTTTTTCCAGTCGTCAGTTTTCTCCTCATTTCCCAGAGACCATGCCGCACGTTATTCCCTGGGTGCTTCCTGCTGCACCTTTCCTAATATCTCCGGTTACATTTGCTTTGAGAGTGAGTGAAAGTAGCTCGGAAAATACAAGAAAAAGGGCTCTGGGCAGAGGAATCGATCTTTGCAAGGGCAGTGAGTGGCTCTCAACGTCTGACCGGAGCCTGGTGATGCAGTGGAGAGGTCGCACATCCTGAAGCACAGCTCTGTCATTGGTCACCCAGGCCTGCCTGCCTCCTCTCTCTCTCTCTCTCTCTCTCTCTCTCTCTCTCTCTCTCTCTCTCTCTTTCCCTCTCTCCCTCTCTCCCTCTCTCCCTCCTTTCTTTCTCTTTCCTGTCTTTGTGTGACCCCAAGAGGGGATCTCACTGCTCACTTGGACTTATTACTCCTGGTGAGCAGAGCAGTCAGCCAGGCCACAGAAGAGACCAACTTCTCACTCTCTGGTCAGCTTTCCCCGGGGGTGGGGGGGTGCATGGCCGGCCTTTGGGGCTTAGCGGTTTCTTCTTCACTGTTTTCTCCTCTTGGCCAGTTAAGCTCATGGCCATGCAACCTGCACAGGCAGTAGGTTGCCCTGTGGAGCAGCACCCTGTAGATGTAGTGTGAGCCCAGACAGGGTGGTGGTAGGAGGGACAGTGAGGAGAGGACCCTGTATAGAAACAGTGTGAATACAGTAAGGTGGTTCATGCTTGGGTAACCATCTGCCTCCTGGTATCGACTGACACACCGAGGAAACTTCCCTAACATGCTCAGCCCGTGAAACTCAAAACCCAGCCATGATTTCCTCAAATTTTCCCTCCTCTGTATTGGGGCATCAGTTCATCACCTGGCCTGCAGCCACTCAAGTTCCTGTTAGCGAAGCAGATTTCTATCAAAGGTAGGATGCGTGCAGTCCCGAAGGTGGACCCTGCATCTTTTTGTCAGTCTACAGTCACTTTTCCTCAGTCCAGATTCCCTGCCCATCCTGTCTGCTGCCCGGGTTGCACGACACCTCTCTTTGAGCATTTAGCTCTCTTGTCTTTGGCTGCAGTGAAGTTTAGTCTCACAGCTTTTCTCTTCCATTCTTCTCTGTAACAGCTCTCTGCACTCCCCACCCACCCTCTGCATGGGCCGTCTTTGTTCTTCTCTCAAAGGGAGCTGTCAGGATGGAAGGCTCTTTTCAGGAAGGCAGAGAGGAGGCTCTTGTTGTTCTAAGTCACAGTCAGATGCATTATTTGCTGTACTATCCTCTTTCAGGCAAGTGGCGCACATAACTATGCCAAGGATCACATAGTCGCAGGCTTAGGATAGTAGGAACACGTGTGTGTGTGTGTGTGTGTGTGTGTGTGTGTGTGTGTGTGTGTACTGGGTGGCACAATTCATCACAGGAGGAAAACACTGTAAGACAAAGATGAAGAAGAAGAATAGGAACAAAACAGACTGGGAGCTCGGGCCAGAGAGGCCCCTGGTGATGGTGCCAGTGGCCGCAAGCTTTCAGTATCGTACCCTTGGTTACTGTTTTTAGCATCAGAACCTTTCCAGGCCCCCTTCAGTTCAGGGGTTGTGGGTGGGCATCGCCGTCCAGTGTGACATCTGGAATGACACACATCAAGTGTGCCTGGGCTCCTGTTGGGGCTGAAGAAATCAGACCTGTCAGTGTAGGGACAAGCAGGCCAGGGAGGCCAGCTGAGCAGGAGAAGCTCCGCCTACAGCCTCTCCTAGGAAATCTCACCGGGTGCCAGGCCGGGGCCTGGGGCAGGGCTTTAGCCTTCACTTTTCAGCTGTCACCCCTCCTTTAGCTCTCCCTCGATGGACATGGACTAGTGACAGGAGAACAGTGAGATGGGCGCCCCCTTGAGGCTGGATGCCATGTCCGCACATCACCCTACCTGGCTTTACCTCTCACACCCTGTGCAGCACCTCAGGACTCTTCATGAGCTGGCGATGACTGATGAGAGCTGGCTCAGAGCTGGCTTCAGTCCATGCGCAGCACGACTTTCATGGCCGCAGAAGAGAGCACTGAGAAAAAGGGCTGTCCTGCAGCCCCGCGTAGCTTCCCCCAGTGCTCAGCACTGCCAGGGGCAAGTGCATTGAGGGTTATTAACAGCAATTAATGGGAGAGTAATCAAGTGTGAAAGGAGGCCAGGGGGGTGATAGGGACCACTGAATCTTACAATCTCAAGGTCAGGCTCTTGGGTCAATCAATCAGTGAGCTGCTAGGAGATGGGACTGGGGCTCCCTTGGGCAAAAGCTAGAAAATGCTGGCATGGTGAGGATCCCCAAATTTCAATGCTTGACAGTTCCTCTCTGTTGGATTTGGCTCATGACCCTGAAGGGGGAGTCAACTCCTCAATGTGCAGAGTTTCTCATGGACTGGCCAGCCAGTAAAGCTGTGAATGACTTCTGCTGTGTGATTTGGGGCCATGCTTGTAATTACTCCAGAAAGTAATTTGCCCAGATTCAATCATAATGTCTAATAATTTACTGTTGGAGATCTTGTACTTCAGATATTCTTGCTAAGACGCGGGCCTCATGAGAATGATGGCATGCTGAGCAATATCAGGCAGTGTGATCAGATGGGAGTAAGAACAAAAGCCAGCATGGGGCAAAATGTCACCAGCAGCATTGTTACTGTGAACACCGGCACCATCACGTCACCATCGTCATGACTGTCACCAAGTCCTTATGTACAGAGACCTTTGTTCCCAGAAGCATTGTAAGCACGTGACAGGCAGTGACCCTGTATCTTTCATTACAGAGCGGTGCTATTACCTCCTTTTAGCAGATAAGAGAACTCGAGCTGAATGTTTCAGTAAATTGGCTCAGAATACTAACTAACAAGAGAATGCGCTGGAATTCTAGACTCTCCTCCAACTGCTCCAGGGTCTGGGCCACTCCCATTATGCTGTGATCTAGCAGAGCAAACAGATGGGTCTTGATTTCAATCCTGGGGCTGTATGCACAATTTCAGACTTCTCTGTGGCTGCTTCTATACGTGTGACAACAAACGATGAGTACAAAGAGGGCCGTGGATCAGGAGCCATAGGCAATAAAGTTGTCTGAGGGCAAAATTTTGGGTCCCACAAGATGGGTCCCGCGCCACGACCCTGGGAGTGAACACATTGTGTTCCACATCCTGAGCAAGCTTGCAGAGGCTAAATGAGGTCCCCGGTTTAATTCCTTGTCATTGCGAGTACTTAAATGCTCATGTCTTTCTGCTTCTTGAGATTAATATTATCAAACCCTTCTTGGAGCACACAGTTGATTACAAGAAAGGGAAGAGAGCACAAAGGTTTCCGGCCTTTGGATGGGGGATGAAGTAAGGGGTCTAGGAAGCCCACAAAGAATTTCCCAGTGCGGTTAGAGCCCACTTTACTCCACGCCCCATCTTGGTCCCACTGTGAGCCCATCCACAACTTTCCCACCTCACGAGGAGGCAGAGGCCAAGGGCTCATTTCAAAGCCATGGAGAACAAAAGATCTGCTGACCCCAGGGGCCTCGCAGGTCCAGGTCTCTCCCACACTGATTCCCTGGGACAGTTGGTGTCACGACCACTCCGGTCCTTCCACAGCTGCATCAGCCCTACACACGAGGGTGTTCATATCATATAAGCAGAATTACCCTTGGTGGCTATGGCTTGAGGGGAATTTGAGGATCATTTTTCACATCCTCTCCTTTCAAAGAGGCACCTAAAGTCCACTTTCTACAGTGGAAGGACCCCAAATAAAGCCGGGGCTTCTGCGTCTCTTTCCAATTACTGCTGTGGTTCTGGTTTTATGCAGCTTTCTCTGTGTCATGTGCCACCCGTGCAGCTAACAATGGATGTTCCCAGCCAGAAATCTTGCTCTTTCTAGAAAAAACAAAAAAGCTCAGGGAGGACCTCCCGCCCTATCCAAGAATCCCCAATTAATCTCTTTATAGCCTCCATGACAAAGAAGCTCTGTGCCCTTCCTCTTCTTGCTAAACTGGAAACGGAGTAAGTAACTGTGTGTGTGAATTAGGGGTGATTTGGCACTAGCCGGTAATGAAGTTGTTTCTCTTCCTGTCCAACAAATCGCAGCTTTTCCACCTTGAAGGCCTAGCACAGGGCTGGATACGGTATGTGCTCCATTTCTGAGCTTTTCGCCATCCTCTCCCACTGTCTTGTGCTCTCAGCACTGGAGCTGTAGAGAGAAAGCTTGCCTGATGGCTACCATATGGATGCTTCCTGATAGAAGGACAGTTATGCTCTCGGGCGCTATTGCTTTGTGTGTCATTCTCTGCCTTCCCCACCTTCCTAACGGTGACAATCACACGGCCATTTCTGTTCTCCATCCCTCAGGTTAACAAGCCCAAGGGGCTCCTCCTAGGAGCCTGGCTGCTTGCTAATCGCTGATGAAGTCTGATGCGCAGGAGGCCCCTGCTCTGATCCTCAGACCTAGAGCTGTGCATTCACCTGGGTGTTTACACTGTGGGCCCTTTGGGGATTCATCCTGTAGCAGGGCACCAGAGTCAGCACAAACCCCAGGCACCAAGTGCTCTGGAGAGAAATGCTTGCCTGATCCCATTGTCCCTCTCAGAGGACTTCTTGGACACAGTGAGTCAGATAATCCAGGAGAAATAATTTGGAGGTGATTTGGAATCACTGTATAACTCTGCTATCATTTTTGCATCCCTAAATTATGTCATTATCTCAGATACTGGGGAATGTACCTGGACAAATCCTTCGGCAGTGTGTCTGGGTGGGGTCTGGACTGACTTCATTTGCCCTTGTAAATAGATTCACAATTCCATCAACATCATTGCTCTAATCTTGCAATGATCCTGCAAGTGTATTTCTAACTTTCTTTTCCATTCAGTGATGATGGGTCCAAGGCCACGCAGCTAATCAGAAGCCGGCTTGGGACTTAAGGCCAGTGTGTTGGTTTTATATTCTGTGGCTGTTCAGTGATCCTGGGCCTACT